GTTGCTACCCATGAAGACGGAAAAAAAAGTAAAAAAAAAAAAAAATCGACAACAAATAACGGTCAAAAAAAAAAAACTAGATTAAACACACAAAAACAAGGCACACAAGCAGACACAAAACGCTGAGAGAGAGAGAAAATTCACTGTGGGTGACATTGTGGAAATCGCAACACCGAGAAGTGGGTATGTGAGATATATACACTACGCTATGAAACACGATTATTACGAATTATTTTTCTGTTTCTTTTTCTCTCGTGTGAATTTTTTTTCATCCAATAACCCTTCCTCTCTCTTTTTTTTTTAAAAAAAGTAACCGGTATTATCTAGCCGACTCTCTGTGCAAAAAAAGGGGAATAAAACAGATAACGCGTAAGTTCAGATTATGTTTTTTTTTTTTAACTAGTCTGACAACTCAGTATTATAGCTACTGCCACCATCGTCATCATCATTATCATCGCCATCGGATGCCATGCGCATTGCCAAATACTTGCGCTTTAGGTTATTCACGGCTTTAGCTTCCAGCTCATCAACTTTTTCTAAACGTATTTTGAGGTGACCGGCCACATCATCCCTAAGTGCGTCAGCCGCGCTACTACTACTACTACTACCATTATCACTGGTACCTTTATTGCCAAATTTAAGTTCGTTTTGGCGAGCGTGGTATGCGTCGATAGCCTGAGAACGTGCAGCTAGTAGCTCACTGCGCCGGGCACTAAGTTCACTCAGAGTAGTCAGGGCCTGTTTACAATCATCGCCTAGCAGTGCTCCGAGCGCATTTGCACATTCATCTAGCCGTTCCAATCGAGCATCTTTGCCCAACGTGTCATTTTTGATCCTATTCGATATATTGTAAAAAAACAAAAAACACATGTTAGCTATTATTACGCCCCTTAAATTTACTTTTTTTTTTCTTCCCTTCTTCTTCTTTTTTTCTTCCGAGAACAAGATAAAAAAAAACTAGATATTATTATCTACAAGCCCTCTGGGTGCGTGCACGCGTGGGTAGCACGTTTTTTTTTTTAAGAAGAAGAAGAAGAAAAAAAAAAAGAAAATGAGTTGGTTACACTTTGATTGATTTATCAAGGCCTGCAAGCGTGTTGGCCACAAGAGCGACAAGATCGCGTTGGGTGCGGTTCCACGACGTTTTGACAATACTCTGTGATTTTGTTAGTCGGTCTTTCAGCAACAACTGAGCGTCTTGTTGCTTAGAAGGTTCGTTGTTTGTATTCATTTTTTTTTTTCCTTTTCTTTCTTGGTTTACAATTAAAGAAAGAGTTTTGATTAAAGATAGGATTTGAGTATATGTAGTTGTAATGATAAATCAGAAAAAAAAAAGTTAACAATGGGCTGGTATATTTGGTGTAATGATTTTTTGTAACCTTTTGTTGACGATGGCGACTTGTTGATAATTTATGACAGGAGATGCGTTCAGATTTCTACTTCTGTGAGTTTTATTTCCTGTGTTTACCGAAAACAACAACTAGCAGTGGCGGCCCAACTTGCAGCAGCATGGAAAACGGTGAACGGAAAAACTTTTCATGACAAAAAGAAAAAAAAAAAAGTTTTTCCATGATAACGAATTATCAATCAAACTATACACAAGAATAAAAAAAGTTTTTTTTTTTTTCATTAATGGCGAGAGAATTACAGACATACGGAAGATACCGGTAAGTAAAAAAAAAAGAATTAATCCGACGTTAAAAGATCAAAAAAATTTTGACGGCAGGGCATGAGAAAAGAAGGTGATTTTTTGAATTTTCTCTGACAATTGATAATCAGAAAGGGTATCTCAATAAAAAAAATTGTTGCATTCAAGTCCCATTTTTTTTTTTTTTTTGAATAGATAAAAGACAATTCTGATTCACATTACCGTCTTTTGTTAGAGATTATTTTCTATTATTTGTTCATAAAAAAAGGGCGCAAAAAATGGGTTTGATTTTAAAGGATTGACAATTTCCGAGTCAAATAGTTTTATTGTTGGAAAGTAATCACAATGAAATTAAATAGAAACTAGATAATAATAATAAAAAATCATTTTGTATAATGATTTAACAGATTTTCTATCCAATATCTAATTATTTAACAATGTGTGAATATTTTTGAATTGAAAAAAAGATTGATAAATATTATTACTATTTTTGTTACTATTTTTGTTACTATTTTCACTATTAATTTCGTTACTATTTTTATGACAATTACTGCTTTTTTTTTTTATTATCTCAATCATTTTTAGGGTACCTCATACGACTCACAAAGAAAGAAATAATAATTTTGAAACGGCCGCATCATCATCATCATCATTAATATTACTACTGAGATACCTGTTTACAATTGGTACAATAGTAATATTGCATTACCTTCTTCTTCTTCTTCTTCGGTCACCAATGGTGTCCCCGTGGCACACAACTACACTCTCGCACACACCCCTTTTCCAATGACGACACATAATTTCCTCACATCACCATTCTCTGTAAGCAATCTTAAACCCTCTCGGTAGTCAATTGGCCATCACGCATTATTATTTTTATTTTTATTTTTATTATTTTATTGTTTTTTTTTTTTTTTTTTTTTCACTTTTCTATAAATTCATCCATTTTTTTCCCTATTGTTACATCTTTTCTTTCTTTCTTACCTTTTTTTATCATCATTCATTAAACTTTCTATTTCACCTACCCACTCTCTCATCACTTTCAATTATATCTTAAACTATGTCTGCAATTAAAAAGCAAAAGAGCTCGCACGACGAGGAGGACACCATCTCCGTCGGTACCTACCTCTTTAACCGTATCAAGCAACTTGGCGTTAACTCCATCTTTGGTCTCCCCGGTGACTTTAACCTGGCTCTTCTTGATCACATCTATGATGTTGAAGGTCTCCGTTGGGTTGGCAACACCAATGAACTCAATGCCGGTTACGCCGCTGACGGTTACGCCCGTCTTAAGAAGCTTGCTATTCTCATCACCACCTTTGGTGTCGGTGAGCTTTCTACTATAAATGCAATTGCCGGTGCCCTTGCCGAGCACGTCGGTCTTCTTCACATTGTCGGTGTCCCCGCTCAATCCTCTGAAAACAAAAAGCTCTTGCTCCACCATACCCTCGGTAATGGCGACTACAAGGTCTACGCTCGTATCTCTAAAGAACTTTCTGAAAAGGTCATTATTCTCGAGGATGCTGATTCTGCCCCCAGTTGCATTGATGACGCGCTCCGCACTGCTCTTATCAAGCAGCGTCCCGTTTACCTGGCTATTCCAACTAACATTGGTGAGCTTCCTGTGTCTCGTGCTCTGCTGGATACTCCAATTAATCTTACCCCTCCTAAAAACGACCCTGTCACTCAAAAGGAGGTCATTGACCGTGTTTTGCGCTTGATTGAGCACGCTTCTAACCCTATTATTCTTGTCGATGCCTGCGCCAACCGCCATGATGTTCGCGCCGAGACTGCCAAGCTTGCTGAGGTCACCCAATTCCCCGTGTTCACAACGCCCATGGGCAAGTCCGCTTTTGACGAAAACAATCCTCGCTTTGGTGGCGTATACATTGGCTCCCTTTCTTCACCAGAAGTTGCTGAGATTGTTGAATCATCTGATTTGATTTTATCAGTTGGTGCTCTGTTGTCTGATTTTAACACTGGTTCGTTCTCGTACAGTTACAACACTAACAACATTGTCGAGTTTCACTCAGATCACATTCAAATCAAGCGTGCCACTTATGAAAACATCTCTATGACACCTGTGCTCGTGGAGTTAGCCATTAGAATCACTCCCCGTGATCCGGAGTCGGCGATCCCCGTCCCCAGGCCCTTGGCTATCCAGGAACAGCCCAGAGATACTATTCTTAACCAGGACTACGTATGGACCAACCTTACTTCTTTCCTGCGTCCTGGTGATGTCATCGTGTCTGAGACAGGTACTTCGTCGTTTGGTATTACCAAAGCCACCTTTCCCAAAAATACCATTGGAATTTCACAGGTGCTGTACGGATCAATTGGTTACTCTGTTGGTGCGGCGCTGGGTGCAGCTTTAGCCTTGGAAGAAATTGATCCCTCGCGCCGTGTTATTCTGTTTGTCGGTGACGGTTCTCTCCAGCTTACTGTTCAGGCCATTTCGACCATGATTCGCTGGAACCTAAACCCGTACTTGTTTGTTTTAAACAACGATGGTTACACTATTGAACGTTTGATTCATGGTCCTACCTCTTCATACAATGACATTAATCCTTGGAAATACACCCAATTGCTGGAAGTGTTTAACGCCAAGAATTACGAAAACCTTTCGATCAAGACCACTGGCGAGCTTGATGACATTTTTTCGTCCGAAGAGTTTGCGACTCCTGACAAGATTCGTCTGATTGAGCTGGTTCTGCCAAGACTTGATGCTCCCGAGGCTCTTGTTAAGCAGGCTGAGATTACCTCCAAGACTAATTCGGAGTAAATAAAATCCGCACAAAAAAATTAGATGAACTTGATCATGATTACTATAAGATGGTATATAGTGGTTTTTTAACTTTTATGTATTGAATGCTTAACAAAATTATAAGTTTTTTTTTTTATCAATAAAAGAGTAAAATTTTGGAGACTCAAATTGTGACATGTCTCGATTCAAAAAAAAGGGTTTCTTGACGGAGGAGGTTTTCGTGACAAAAAATTTTTTTTTTGAAACCTTAAAAAATCAATGTCAGCCGTACGATCTTTTTTTTTTTTTTTCCAAGAACGCCACTAATAAAACAAAAAAGAAAGCCAAACTGTATATATTTTATGTACGTATCTAAAAAAAAAAAACATTTGTCTCTACCTTTAGGTAATTCTGGCATTCAATGGGCCTCCAAATTCTGCATAAAATAATAGGTATATAAATAAAATATTTGAAAGTTTATTAATATATAAACTAATCTAAAGGTATATATAGCTATTTTAGATTGATTATCATTAGAAGAATATTTTTAAGATTTTTGTTTTTCTTTTTTTGTTTTTTTTGAGAAAAAAATATTTAATAAAAAAATATCTCGGCAACGGGGAATTGAACCCCGGTCCCCCGCGTGCTGCTCAGAGTATAAGCTAAATTGACAGGCGGAAATTCTAGCCACTAAACTATTGCCGATTCAATATATTTTGTAAGAAATCGATCCGACTCTCACGATTCTGATCTCTTCTTACTTTCTATCTCTTATTTTATTATCTCTTATTTCATTTACTATTTCTTACTTTTATCTTTATTCGTATCTTTCATTTATTGTTTCCGATTTACTATTGTTATTCTTATTCCAATATTCGACATAGGATCACCAACTCTAATTCACAGCCGCAATACTTATGATTATACTTTTCGACATTGCTCTTTTATCCTTAACCTTCATACGACCCCTTCTGACCTGAACCTTCACCAACACCGCCGACGTTTACATTCTATTTCTTATCCTCATCGCTATCTATTTCCTCAAGTCCATCTTCATCCGAAGAAGACCATAATCTCATGGCCTCCCTTTAACCCCGCCAAGCGTCAGGTGAAGCTTTCTCATATAATTATTTGATTCTACTAACTTCCTAAGGACAGTTGAACATTGAAGAGCAAGGATCCTTACTTCCAAGATCCTTATCTAGGTTATTC